TACAGCATTTAATTCCAATAGATAGAGACTTTTGTGGTCTACCCTTCCATGACCTTTTCAAGGTCCCTGATACTGTTATTCACGAAAAAATGGTTCGAACCTGACACCTGTCTTCGATTAACGGTACATTTTAGAAAACAATGTTGTTAAAAGCTAGGCTTGCTCTATGAAAAATTTACTATTGTGCCATCGGATGTAGAATTCAATTCTGAACAAAATGGTGTAACTGTGAAATGGGGGGGGGGGTCGTTAAGAATCGAAAATGGCCCGCTGCCAGAACTCGACTTTGTCTTTCTCATTTTATCAGTTTGGATGTCAGATGTATATTTCTAACAAAATCAGACCATTTGATGCTTCCCACATTGCATGCGACTCGATTTACTTATCCTTCTTTTCTATATATTCCATGCTCTCAAAAGTATTAGGATACGGAGTGGTTTAAAGCTTATTGCTTCACTCTTTCATTCTCATGTTTAGTCTATTTATATATCGAATTGAAGTTCTTTTACATCTCTATCAAATGACATAGAAATAAATGTATGAAAAAAGTTAGTTCTATTGCTTTCTTTCATATCGAAACTGCATTATCACACTATATGTATTTACATAGAAAATCCATACATTACAATGATTATATAAAACTTTTTATTATCTAAAACATGTAGATTCATTCTGGATTGTTTACTAATCGATAGATCTGATTGAAATCTATGGAATGATGATAAAACATCTTAATTAAAAAAGTGGACAAGCAGGTCTAGTCTACGTAACAATAAGAATGACATCATGTATGATATGATGCACATGTATATGTTATCATGATGGTAGAAACATTTTTATTATCTGAAATAAATAGACTTACTCTAGATTGTTTGCTCGTAGATAGATTTGATTGAGATCTATTAGATGACGAGAAAATATCTCGGAAAAACTTGGCAAGTAGATCTAGTGTCCCATGAATTCTGAACATAGTCATGTCTAGCTCTGGACGTGACCAGTTTTTTGGTCACGATCACATAACGATCACGAACTTTTAATCACGGTCATGCTCACAATCATGACTTGTGCTCATCGCGATCGTGATTGTGAGTCACAACAATCTTGTCTGGTTTGTTAGGATCTCATAGGCGAGATATTTGTTAACGAAGCTCAAATCTACCGGTTTCAGACGTGGGCATAGGGTATCTTTTTTGTGTACTCAAAAAGTGAGTACACTCTAGAATCGGTCAGTATGTCCGTCCGTCCGGCCGGCCGGCCGTCCGTTTACACGATAACTTTTGAAAGGAGAGTCAGATCGCGATGAAATTTTCTGCACAGTTTAGTCTCAACAATATCTCGGTCGAGTTCGAAGATGAGAATCATTGGCCGAGCCATTCGTGAGTTATTGCAAAAATAGTGGTTTTTCCCTATACCTTTCTATGGGAAGATCGACCCATCCCGGCTTTCGTAAAATACTTTTCCTATCATAGTCAAACAAAATCCCAACTATTATATACCATTCGATAGAGAATTTCACGAGCTACAAAATGGTATATAAAACATAAAGAAACAAGAAGATTAACTCATCTATTGCAAAGATAATTAAACGAGAATTGGTTCTGTATGTGTCCACACTCTAATTGATCCACAATTAGAGCTCTGTTTTTCGATCACAGAGATGATAGTTCGAGGTTTTATGGGTCGAAGAACTGCAATCTAAAATCCGTTTGCCTCGAAATCCTATTGGCTGAACAGTAACCAATAGAAATCAAGTTATAGGAAAAACGAGTTTCTTAGGGTAAATCAAGGTGAAGAGTTCAAATCTGAGCTGTATTCGCTCCAAATCCTATTGGTTGAGCAGTAGCCAATAGAAATCAAGTGTTTATAGACAAGGTTTGCCAGGTTAATTTTTATGTTCACACATGCTAGCGTGACTAATCCGTCTCATTCACTTTTTGAAGTACACATAACTCTCGGATATAAATCCGAGGTTTCCACATTTATCTTTCTTGATGCCTAACTGGATTCTGGAGAATGAGAGAACCGTCCTGCTTACTATCCATTTCTTAGCAACCGGCTATACTCCATGTCATATTTATCAAAAATTTGAGAAGAAATCTTCAGATAATATTCGAAAATATCTACTATGTTTATCAACTTAGGACAACACAAAAGTGCTTCATGCCTATGGATTATTCTTAATGACATTGTTTCAAGATGATGGAAGTATTGATAAGAATTTATCAATACATAAATATCATTGCAAAAGATATAGTATAGTATTCAGATATTTTTTTAAGTTAATAGTTGATTTTTAACTGATGTAATTATTAGTCATTTTTATGAATTGGAATGTTACCCGCATACTTAATTGGATGATATTTTCTGAGAAACATATATGATGATAATAATGATGACTCTAAAAGCGTTATGAAAGATAATCACATAGTACTTATTAAAAGATCAATTTTCGCTTTACATTTATTGTAAGAATCGACCGGAATACTTTTAATTTTCTAAAAATCTTATTTGTTGAAAAATGCTCATAGCTATATAAAAAAGTTCCCAATATTTTTCTGATTCGAACGTACTATCCCTAATTTAGGGTAGATTTCGCAAATATCTCATTTAAAGCGAATAATTTTTTTCGATGTTATTGTCCTCTATACTTTTTCTACATCATTGTCTCCCACGTGTCTTCTTCTTCTTTAGACAAAGAAACAATTGTAGTTCTTTATTGATGTGCACTTGTTTGATTTTGTGTGAATCTGTTATTGTGGATGTGTAGTTGATCACTTAAATTTAAAGAAAGACACAAGTAAATCTTTACAGTTTTCTATATTTCCTATATTTACATGATAAGGAATTAATGTATTTTAGGTTATTATAAATAAACGAAGCTGTTACAACACGAAGTCATCGATTTTTATTCTGGCTTTCATTTTTCTTTTGATTGTTGGTATTATATTATTTAGCAATGAATGTTAGCAAAGTATTCGATCGTTTAGTCAATGAAAATTCTAGGAATATTTTGAATGAAACAGATTTTTTATTTATATACATACACTGTTATTTTTTGAAAAATAATTTTGAATTACCTGATCATAACGTAATATTACAATACTTTGCATGTAAATATTAGCTGTGATTTCTTTTTAGAAACATCTTTTATTAATGAATGCAACACGTGAGGGTGTAGGTGTGGGGTATGGGTGGGTGGGATGTGTGGATGTGGACTTTCTTTTCAGCCACACCCACACCCCACATCCACACCTACACTCCACATCCACACCCTCTATTCATGGCAGGAATATCAAGCAACTCGTTCTGAACCTCGAACTCAAGAAAATATTGATTATTGTGGTAGTTTAATCGCAGCCTCCAAGACAAAAATTCGACTATTTGGAGTTCTAGGAAAATCACCTTTATCCACCATCTTGTCAATTCCAACTCAATGTGTATTTGATTATTTTCATGTATGTTTGCAAGTTCATTTACCTGTACTTATTACACAGTGGATTGATTTATTACCGAAATTTGCTATTGAAAAAGCAAATGTTTATCTTTCTGATCTTCTTTATCCACATACCTTTAATCAACGTCCGAAAAACTTATCAATGTTTAATCAATGGAAAGCTAGTCAAATGGAAATTTTTTTTCTTTATATATCTCTTCCACTTCTCATACATCTTGAAAAATCTTTTCCTTCTGCTATCGTTCGACATTTTTCTTTATTTTTTGTTAATTTGCGTACATTGATCTTTTTTTATAATCAGTCAAACATATATGCAATGCGTCCTTTTATCGAATGTTGCTTAGATCAGTTTCCATTAATTTTATGGGGCCTGTCCTGAACTTCTATCGACTCAGTTTCTAGTTCATTTGTGGAGACAGTGCCATAACCATAGTGCGTTAGCTGTTCACAATATATTCAATATTGAGAGTTCACTAAATCACTTAGCAAAAATGAGCCATGAAACAATATCATTAGGTAGTCAAATGAGCTTTTGGTATTCCATCGATCGATTCATTCACTTCAGAAAAGTTAAGCGTACACCAAATCATTTTTTAAAAAATAATTTTTTTGATCACAATGTTACCAAAGAATATGATGAACAATTTACTTATCCTTTTTTTTCGCTTTTTTAATCATGCAGCTGCTGAAGATATTAGCTCTTATGATCGTTTGCATTTAGGTATTGCCGTTTATCATTCACTTTCATATAAGTTGCGAAAAACATCTGTTAGTTATCGAGTATGCTTATATAACTCTTCCTGTTCTAAACTGGTTTGCTTTGGCGAAATCTTACTCTTCTTTTCATATCGTAATGAAAAGTTTCTTTTTGTTAAACAAAAGTGATGTTCTTCTTTTTCACTATCAAAACATCTCAATCTAGATGATAGTATCAGCTCATGGCCAGATAGAATCAATCAATACTTTTATTGCGTCCACTCTTCTTCAATTATCGTTCGTATATATCCATGTTCTTCTTTACTTCGAAAATCGATTTTTCTTTCATTTGATGATGATATTATCCTTACATCTAATGTTGATCATGAACTTGAACATGATTAAATGTGAAACAATTGTTTTATATATATATATATTGGATCATTTGATTGAAAATTTTTCGGTCTTGTGTGCTCTACTGATGCTGTTTCTTTTTACTCAAGCCATTCTTTATATTACTTCGATATATTCTAACTGATCTTGTTCATTTTCTTATATTTCAAATTTCCTTTTGACTGTTTCTTCAGGTTCTCTATTCTGTATGGAACAAGTAGTGGCGTAACCAGAAAATCATGAGCGGGTGGGCGGCGTCCCACTCGCTTACAAAATGACTCTACTATGCTAGGACAACGAAAATGTCTATGTATTTATTTAATATTTTTTCCCATCGGTGTGTCGACAGAGACCTTGTGTGAGGGGCCGCTGCCCACTCATGCCCTACCTTGGTTACGCCACTAGGAAGAAGTCAGATTTTTTTCAGATAGATTCACGTTTTATTGTACATTGAAATATGTATCCCCAAAGAACTTCTCTTAGCACAACAACTACTAATAATTCATTAACTCAACCACGTACAAATTCGCCTTTAACAGCACGACATACACTTCCATCATCAGCTCATTTTTTTTTCACAACAATGCAGACAACAACAGCATCATACACAAAATGATCGCGGTAAAATTGGTATAGTTTCATCTTTCATAGGGTAGATGTATTATGTTCAGATGCTATCCAACCGTATTCATCAGATTGTGACCTTTTCGAATCGAATTCCTATCATCGAAATGTTTCTTCAAGAATTACAACTTATGATCATGGTTAGTTCTACCTTTAATAATATCAATCTATAGTGAAAAAGATTTTTATTTGTTTAGATTATATTCCTTCGTCATCACCATCAATTAAGCGAAAACATGCTGAAGCTCCACTTGATCATGGAAAGCAAACGAATGATATTACCAATTGTTTGAAAACTGTTATGAAACAACAAGAATTACTTGTTGATGGTTTTCAAGGACTTTGTAAAAGTAATGAAAAAATTCAAAAAATGATGATTTCATTACTTCATGCAAATAAACCTGTGAATTTCTATAATCTTACCTTCTTCTGTAAATTTCGTTCTATATAGGATCAAGTATCGGCTAACAAACCAGTTGAATTATCAATCTACGTGAGTAATCGATCATTGTTATATTAATTTTTTTTGACTTGGCTTTAATAATAGAAATATAAGGAAAAAAATCTCTTCGATTCAATATCTCCTAATTTATCAATAACTGCCATTCATTGTAAGTTAATTCGTAAGCTGTATTCAGAAGAAGAAATAATTAATGGTGAAGCATTAAAAGTAGAAGATGAACGATTTGAAATTGTAAAAGGTAAGTAATGCCATTCATTATATGTTTTACTGATATTTATGTCCAAGGAGCCATGATTGCTGCTTTTTTTGAAAACAAACTAGAAAAATTTAATCGGTTTTGGAAACGTGTTGGTGCCAAACATGTCGGTGGACAAAAACGGGCTGCCCGTAGTCGAAGTAAAAAAGCTCGGTAAGTATATGGTTCACTTCGCACTACTATTTTATATTGTCACACAAGCATGATAAGGTCCTGTATTTTAGACGAAATGAAGATGAAACTGATCAAAGAACTGCTTCTGTCATGGCTGAAATAAACAGTGAATTAAACAGTAAAAATCACTTCGATGATGAATACGATGATTATTATTAATATTTTATCTATATGTTAATACTTATTCATAAGATTTATGGTATTTATTTATCTTATTAGTTATGTATGAAATTAGTGTTGCAGCTTTGTCAAAGCATAAAGTTCATTTTCTTTTTTGCATTATGAAATAGTAACTGTCACACTTCTTATCCATCTTTACATTATTCAGAAAATTTCTTTAATATTTCATTTGCTGTCCTTATAAGAATTGTAAATTCTTTGAAACATTTATGCGATATGATATCTTGTCGTTTTTTTTATGAAACTACTGTTTAATTATTTGTCTTCCAGTTGTTGTTATTGTCTACTCAAGTGCTTTTATCCTGACAATCATTTGAACGAAATAAAACCTTTTTCTAACTGTGAAAATTAAAAAAAAGTCTTTTATAAATAAACCACTGGTAAGACAGCAAAGAGCGTACGGGCTGACTTGGGTTTTTGAATATAGAAATTATCTCAGAAGAATTTCCGTAGATGTCAGTATGTAGAATAATGTAGTACTATACGTTTCATTTTAAAATAAAACGAACAGCAAACTCAATAATTCTGATAGAAAAATGAGTGAACATACTGTTTATTGAATTTAATAAATTCGAAGCATATATTTTTACCTGAACTTAACTCAGACTATTAGTAAACAATCGAATTACAAGATCTCTTAATCAAACAAAATCCCTTGTACCTGTAAAAAGAAATTACGATAGGGATCTTTTAGAACATAAACCTTTTATTTATAAACATATATTTTGTTTGTGTAATATTTTTATTTCGATACTGATGGTTTTATTAATTTTAATTTAGTAATACTAACTGTTTGATACTTTCGCATGAGTCTAGATACTTCCTAGAACTTTACATCATTTGTATATATCTTTTTATTTAGAAAAATGATAACATTTTCTTGTTGATTATAATTATGATTGGTAATTGCATCTAAAACAAATATTCAACGAAAAAAGTTAAAATATTTCGAATTCAATCAATGTCTTATCAGCAATACGCTTTTGATAAAAAGGTTGTACCTGACTCTTGTTTTTTCTAAATAGAAGGTAAAGTGTTATAGAAATAAAATTTTATGATTTGTTTCAGTATCATTATCTTATTTGTTTGAAAAAAATTAAACTTTCTGTTTCATTTCTACAATATCCTCATAAATTTTATTTTTTCATAAATTATTCTACATAATCTCTGTTTTACTAATTTCATGTTCAGATTTCAAATAAAATCATACAAACTTAATTCAATGTTTAAAATGATATTATATTGTAAAACTGTAGAATATTTCTCAATTTACAGAAAGAAAAATAATTATTCGATAAATTAAAAATCTAAAACAAAAAAACTTGATATCAAGAACACAAAATTCATTTAATCCTATTACTAATCGAAACTAGTTTGATCAAACAGAGTGATTAATCAATAAAAATATTAGTAAGCAATTTTCAAGTTTAAATCAAAAGAAATACTTTATGTAGGGTATGAATATTTTTTTATCACCAAAATGTGTTTGCTGCGAAATGATCACCAAATTTATTAATGGAACATAGGTAGAATGTAATTATGATCCATCTCTGTGCTAATTACACCAGTTTCGTAAATCATGAACAGAAAAAAATTTTGGGCTATCTTTTCATCGTTCATAAATAACAAAACTTCGTAATTTATCTTCAATAATTGAGTATTCTGAATGAGCTATAGTCAATGATGCTTTAAGTTGAGTTTGAGATAATCCACATTTAATATCATTAGATACCTATTCACGAACTGTAGATGATAAACGTGTTGTTATGATCCCGTTCATTTTGGTCATGTTTATCTACACTTTGAGATATAATTCTTATCGAATCTATATTATCATCAGGCATAATAATTTTGATGTCAAACTTGCATAATGGATGCTTTCTATATTCATTGTATTTAAATAAATATTTGGAATGATTATTTAAATACGATCGTCGATATTGCCATACGTTGAACTACGATTTTACGATATCTCTTGGTTCATCGTATGACTTCATTGTGTACTGCAATGTCCATTCATTATTTGACATTTTCTAATGTTCTGTGTTCTGATGATACTGAGACATTCTTTATAATTGTTCTGAGTTAATGGAATTATATTCATCAAACGAGATTATTGTTGATTAATCCCGTCCGATAGATTAATTCGCTTATAAGATAGAAATTCATTGAATACAAATGAGAAGTGATCATTTCACAAGCAAAAAATTTTGGTGATCAAACCTATATTTTTTTTGGTGATCATTTCGTAGCAAACATATTTTGGTGATCAAATCTATTTTTTTTGGTGGTCAAATGGCAATTTTCTCTTTTATGCATGTTCTATAACTATCGATTAGAAGCACACGTTTCATAAGACAATATTTACTTACATATACTATTTGTAACAATATTTGATCAACTACCACTTCATTTAAAACTCTAATGTCTCTATATATATATTTTTTTCTATTAATTCAAAACAGCTTACATAAAAACTTTCCTTTTCATGATCTTCTACTTGATTTTGCATTATTCGAAAATAATTAAGAATATAATCATTTGTCAAATAATTTATTTAACAAAACATTTAAGTATTATAATAAAATTCATATCTCGTGAGATTGTACATTCCATCGGTATTTAGACGAAACAAAAACAAAAAAAACTGACAATAATTTCTTTTTCTTTTTTTCTTTTTTTCTCATATAAAGATCAAGAACAAAATACAAAATAGAATTCTCTGTATTATATGTAGCGAATAGGAGGATAGAAAGGGAATGACGATGAACAAAATGATTTAAAGGGTAAGTATGCAGCACAAAAAAAAAAGAGAGAGAAAGCGAAATAGATCAAGAGAAGAAAAAAGAGAAGTCAAGCGACATCGCAGGGATGTGTATAAGATGGAATGTGTATGTGTCAAATATCTACAGGTAGACATATGAAAAAGAAAAACACGAGAAAACGAAACAAAACACAAATAAAAAAAAAACAGTTTTCTTTTCTTTTTTCACAATGCAGTTGGTTGTGTTGCATACATAGCCGAATGATGATAATAATCCGTTGATGATGATGGAACAAAAGCTGTTTGTGGTAATTGTGATGCATAATATGCATTTAATGCTGCTGGATTATCACCAAAACCTTGATGCATAATAAGTGTATTAATAGCAAATGGTGAATAACCAGTAAATGTATGCGGATCAAATGACATTTGATTAAATTCACACTGTTCCTGTTTAAGTTGTTTAACACCAACAGTTGAACCTGATGATGATGAAAGTTGTAAATTACGAGAATCTGGAGATTCTGATGCTTTGAACAAATAATTATACAATTAAAAAAAAAAAGATTTTTAAATAAATAAAATTTACCTGCTAATGCTGGCTGTTGTTGTTGTTGATGTTGCATATACATTGGTCTTTGGTGTTGTTGTTGTTGTTGGTGTTGTTGATGATGTTGCATAAGTATTAATTGTTCATCACATGATTTATCTGATGCTGATGAAAGTGGACTTCGTTGTCCACTACCTGTTGATGTTGTTGATTTATCAAGAGTATTATTTATACCATTACGTCGATTATTATTATTTGAATCTCGGTCATGTGGTATACGACATGATATTTCACGTTTAGTACCTAAAAAAGCTTTTTTTGTATTTGGCAAAAAAAAAGTTTAATTTAATAAAAAGCAAACATTTGAAAAAAAAACTTACATTTAAAACGTTTTTGTCGTCGAAGATAACATCCATTTTCAAACATATTTGTTGCATCTTGATGTAATGTCCAATAAGAACCTTTGCCTGGTCTATTGAAGAAGAAACAACAAATTTTCCAAAAAAAAGAAAAGAAAAGAACAACAAATAAAAATTACCGATCAGGACTTCGTGGTACTTTAACAAAACAATCATTAAAACTTAATGAATGACGAATAGAATTTTGCCATCGTTGTTGATTTTGACGGTAATATGGAAATGAATCCATAATAAATTGATATATTTCAGCCAATGTACACATACGATTTGCTGATAATTGTATAGCCATTGTAATTAAAGATATATAACTATTCAGTAAAAAACAAAAAAAAAGAACATACAATAATTTAGGTTAAGATAATGGATTTCCGTTAGACAAAATATACCTATATGGTGGTTTAGCACACGCATTAAAATTTCTTCTATATGCTGTAGCTGCAGCTAATGCAGCAGCACTATTTGTAACATTATTAACTGGCATTGTTGGTACTTGTCCATTAGTTATAACTGTTGTTGAACTGTTATTTGTTTTATCATTAATTTGTTGATTTTGATAACGTGTTGGTGAAAGTGTATGAAGAACATTTAATGATGTATGTGTTCCATAAGGTGGTGATGATGATGAACTTGGTTGTTGTTGTGGTTGACCATTATTATAAACCATAGATAAAGATGTTGGTGATAATGTTTGACCATTATTATTGACTAGTTGTTGTTGTTGCTGATGATGATGATGTGATGGTGGTGGAACAAGTGTATATTGTCCAGTTGGATTATTTCCATAGGGTGATTGTTGATAACAACAATTCGTTTGATAATTCCCTGATGTTTTTGGTGATGATGACATGGGACTGTAAATAATTAGAAAAAAAAAGCCTAATGTTTATTTATGCTATATTTAAATTAACTATCTATGTTCATCTGTCAATAAAAAGAAAAAAAAAATTATTTATATTAGTTTTGTTAATATGTACTTATGATCGGATAGACACATACACACACATACTTTTTTTTTTCTTTTTTCTTATTCAACTTCTTGAAAAAAATCTTTATGTATATATGTGTACGATACGTGCGTGTACACGCGCGTGGATATATTTGTGCGTTACAAATAAATGGAAACAATATTTGCTTCGCGCGTCGTCGTTGCTGACTGCTGCTGCTTGCTAGAATAATATTGGCTCCTTCTTCTTCTGTAGATTTTACATCTCTTTATCAAGAAAAAGAGAGAGAAAATGAGAGAGAG